ATAAGGACGTGGCGTCAGCGTCCGCGCTCTGGATTGGCTGGCAGCGGGCTGCCGCGGGGCACGCTGGGAGCTGGGGCGCTCGGCAGGGGCGGGGAGTGCTGGGGCGGAGGGGGCGTGGCGATAGGCGGCCGGTAGGGGGCGGGGCGAGGCGCGCCGGCCGGTGTCGGGGTTAGTGAGCGGCGGTGACGGTGACGGTGGCGGTGTTGGCGTCGTGGTGGTGGTGAGGGCCGGGGCATCTGGGGTGTGAGCTGGGACGGGGAGAGGCCCCGGGGGAAGACGAGGAGGAGGCGGAGGCACGTGGGGCAGGTGTAGAAGCAGAGACCTGGAGGGGGGGTGAAGCCGCCTGGGCCTGGAATAGGGCAGAGGCCTCGGGTGGGGTTTGCGGACCTGGGGCTGGAGTAGGGCAGGGGCCCGGTGTGGCTTTGGGCAGGGGGAGGCAGCCTGGCGGTGCCCAGCGTCGTCCCCTTGCCCGGAGCGGCGCTGGGACCTGTCGCATTCCCACCCATGTGTCAGAGCTGGCCCCCGTGGGTGTCTGCACGGGGCTCCGCGCCAGCCTGCTGTGAGTGCGGGCAAGGCCGGGGCAGCCGGGAGGCGCGTTTCGCCCAGCTTCCCCTGCCCCGCGCCCAGCCCGGCCTCTGCGTGATCTGAAGGTCTCAGAAGCCTCTTAGAGCGGACTAACTGATTCACTTCTCGATATTCTTGTGTAAGCCTCACCTCTGGTTGCCTCCACCTCTCCTGACTGACAGGGTGCTCTCGCGTTTCCTTCTCTGAACGAGTCACGCTGAGATATAACATATTTAGCAAATCGGGGTGGTCGTAGCAGGGGCAGAGAGACCACATCCTTCGGCCTGCAGAGGAAATGATTTGCACGTTTAGTTTAAGAAACTGTCTGCTGAAACGGATGTGTTTAAAATGCTGCATGCGGAGGAACACAGCCACGGGTGAAATGTATCTTTTGCATGTGTTTACTAGCCTGTGCTTAAATTTCTGTTGGCTTATTTTGAGAGCTTGGAGTACTTCATGTGAGGCCAAGCTGTATTTTGCTGCTGAGCACGCTGATGGCAAAACTGGAACAATCCTGATAGAGATTTTTCTAGCAGAGACCTTTGTGACATTGCTGAGCTAATTGTGCTAGCAGAAATAGGCACTAGCTGAAGAATGATCCTTATGCCAAGCACTGAAGGAGGAGCAGGTCTTGGTGTAATCTGTAATGGGGACAGCACAACAAGCTGGCAAGTTTTGGCAGACGGTCTCGCTGGTTTGGTGATGACAGATCGGAGCCCTTCTCATGGCTGGTGCTGCGGTTTTGGTTTTTGGGGGGGGGGGCAGGTGAGAAATCACCTGTGCTGCAGTGGAAACTCTCCTCTGTAAAACTGCCATTTTACACTCTGTGTTGGAATTTGAAACTACGCTGAAGGGGTGAGTGAGGTGGGACAAGCCATAGCAGCGACCGACATGCTGCCGGGTAAGGCTGACCTTCCGCAGATGCTCACATTTTACACCCCGGGTGCGTTGGTCGTTGTTCTTGGCAGGGAGTGAAAGAGGAGGAATGAACTTTCTGAGGTCAGAGCTGCTTTGAAGGACTAGCCTGTGAAATCAAAGCAGTGTAGTGGGGGATGGAAGTCCTAAAGGAAACACAGGCAGTGACCAAAGCTTTCAGTGGCTTCTCGCTGCCTGTGAGTGAGTAGGGGACAACTGGGGTCTGTAACAGTGTGAAAAAGGAAGGCAGAAATTTGTTGCTTTGCTACTTTTTTTTTCTGTCCTTACACGTTCTAGTACACAAAGATCTTGCTTCCCAAGACTTCACTTGAATTAAATAATCTGTATGTAGTTCATCATCTCAAGTGTAGCTCCTGTGCTCGTATCTCATTATGTGGACATTTGTGACTGGTGGAATATGCAAGGGATTTTTTTTTTTTCTAAAAGTTCTCTTAACTGGGTGTTTCCAAAACCTGAAGAGAGGCTCTCTGTCTTCACAGCCACCATGTCATCCGGTCAGGAATCCGTTTTCTCCGAGTATGAGACCGACACCAGTCAGACATCGAAGCTGTTAAGAAAATTTAAAGAGACGCCATTTGTACCCATCGGTAAGTTTGAAGATGAAGAAATGTGGTTACATAGTTCTTTCTCTTCATGGGCAATCAATATGGTAAACACCATCACTGCTCACTTTTTTCCTGTGAACAGGAAATTACTTTGAAATTACTTCCTCATGTGTGGTGACAGCAGTACTGCTCCTGCCTAGAATGGTAGTTGTTTTGCAAGAAACAGGGAAATTAGTGAGGCCTGTTATCTTAAATAGAAAACTCGGAACTTACAATTACCAAAAAAATTCCAAAACCAATAAACTCTGAAAGACTGTTTAGGTGAGTTTAAAAAAACATGTTCAGGTCATTCTGTTAGGTGATAAGGGGTGTGTTCTGCAGTTGTTCTGTAGTACAATTACTGAGAACCATGTGATCACTACGAAGTGACTAAAACTCACAAAATACAAAACAGAAGTGTCTAAAATGCAGCCTGCCTGCTAAAAAATGTGTTTTCTTAGTAGGTTTTATGGTACAACAGCTTGAGGAGTTTGTTAAGGTTCTCAACCTCTCTGCTGAGACCCGGAAAAAGCCTCTGAGGAGAGAAAGAGGATCAGTCTTTTTTGTTCTGAGAACTTTCCTCTGGTCAGGAATGGCCTCTGACACGAGCCATGATTTAATTTCCAGCCACCTTAAATGGATAGCAGTTGGGTCACTTGAGGTGAACTGTTCCAAGATATCCGTCACTGGTTTCTGTGGTCACAGGACTTTGCTCTCCAGCTTGTTAGGGCATGCCACCAACTCTGCGAGTTCAGGTTTTCCCAAGCAGAGTGGCAGAACTTACCTTCAGCCTGTGTCGGAGCTAGTTTGAAGGCCCTAAAACTCTTAATTGGTATTTAATGAAGCTACCCTGTGGATTGTGCACCAGTGAAGTAAGGGTTCACAGCTTCACGAGTGGAGCTGGTAATACTGCTCAGAGAGACAAAGCTGTCTGGGCTCTCGTCAGTAAAATATACACAACACTTAAAGCTTGGCAGCCTCCTTTGAACTATGTAAATAATCATCCTAAATATCGAATGAAGTGAGTGGAAGTGGGAAATCTCGTCCATTACTGCCGTGTATTCTGTGAGAGCATCAGTACACAGGTTGGAGTCAGTACAGCCAACTTTGGTCTGTTGGAGGAGTAGAAGTGAACTGTATCCCTGTGAATGAGACCTTGCTAAATCCCTCTCCCCACAGCACAGGGCAAGTAATATAGGGCTTGTCCTGTCCCGGTGAAACCCAGCCTAACTTGACAACACCCAAACCAGCACCTCAGCAGGCCAGTGGGTATGTCAGGAAGCATCCACCTGCTGAGGCAGTCCATGCTGTGGCCAAGCAGTGTTCTTGGGTGTGAGCTTCCTTCCAGGAAAGAGGGTGCAAGCAGCACTTGTTCCTTCTGAAAAATATCCATGAAACTTGACACCTCGAGCTACTGCTGTGTCATTTTAACAGCAGCGGAAATCTCTGGCTTGTCTCTGCACTGACTTGTACATAAAATGAGATGGCACTCGAGTGAAAACAGTAGACAGGATGGGACTTGCCATCCACGCAAAACCAGAGCAATTAGATGAAAATGTGATTATTGTTAGGATATCTTGTTTAGGTGGGTCACTTCACACACTTCCATGATGATCTGGACTCACAAGGATGCTTGCGTACCTTGTAGGGATGGCTGGCTTCGTCATGGTGGTTGGCTATGGGCTGTACAGACTGAAGCACAGGGGCAACATGAAAATGTCACTTCACCTGATTCACATGCGTGTGGCAGCCCAGGGCTTCGTCGTGGGAGCGATAACGTGTGGTAAGTACCCTATGGAAGGCTGTCCTTGGCAACCACAAGCCACAGAGAAACTCTCATGGATAATAATAGCGTGTGCAAAATAGCCTCGGGGTGGAAGCGCCCAGGCCATTATATTTCAGGATGTTTATGGTCGTTAACTGGTGTTTACTCAGTCTTTCTAGAATAATGTGATGCTTAAGTACACATATTCAGTATTAAACTGCACTTCCAGAGTAGAAGTTTTGACTGCTGTTATTAGATGGGGGAAGTATGTGAGGTTCTACAGGTGTTGAAATTGGAGGCAAAGAAAAGACTATCTGATGTTAATATTTTCCCTTGTAAATACGTGGCTGTTTCTGAATTTAATGCATTGGAAAATCAGCCTATGGTTTTATTTTCAGGACTGGAATTGTGCCCCTGAATGTCAGTACAGTGACTTACACATCCCAGGTCTCAACTATGTTTTGCAGCTGTGCATGTGTGTGAATGTGTATCTCATGAAACAGTTTGTCTGTACTGTATTCCCAGAAGACACAAGAGAAAATCTTGACTTTGGCTGCAAAGCAAACTAGAATTGGCTTGGGATCTGCATTTTCATATAAAGTGTATTTTCATATCCAGTTTCTCTGTATATGAAGAGTTTTGTAGTGTTCATCACTGCTACTAAAAATAAAAATACGGACAGCCAAAGAGGAAGGGAAATGTTACTTCTGTTGCTTGGAATATCACTCAGATTTTGAACCTCATTATTTCCTCTTTAACCCAGCTTTCTAATTGTGCTTGTATTTCTCCTGTAGGTGTGATGTATTCCATGTTTCGGGAGTATGTGCTGAAGCCCAAGGAGTAATGGGAAGCTGACTGAAATCTCTGTCCTGGTGGTGGCCTGTGTACTGTACCTACAAACCTCTTATCGAGAGGTTCTTGAGGAAAAAAAACCCACCACAATATTAGAGAATTGCCCTATATCTATTTTGTGTATGGTACAGTCTTTAAGCTGGCAGCCTAAATGATTGTGCACTGCAGGTGTGGCTATCAGGGTCTGGTTCTTTCTGATTGACACTACCATATCCCAGTTTTTAGGGGATATAGTAGAGTACGATCCCTTTATCTTCCCCTTGACTGTCAACTCAGTCCTAAAATTAGTGATTCCTTTTTGCTGCCATTGCCCAAAACCCACAAAGTCTGAACTACTTTCTGTTAGGCCTGAGGCAGAATGTGGAGGCCACATCTCTAAGATAGTGTTGTGAATGCTTTGCTGTAATTTTCTATCCTGTATATTTGTCAGCCTCCAACTTTGTAATTTAGAAGCTTCTAAAATTGAAAGAGATATAAACATCTATTTTTTTTATTTAAGGCATAAGTATTTGGTATGTTGCAGCTATTTAAATGTTATATTTATTCACTGTTAATGAAGACACAGGCTCCCTATTTTTACTATAGATTTTCAGACTCTTGGATTACTACATTTTGTAACTTTATTTACAGTGTTCTTCTGAATAACATCTAAATGTAACATTTAAAATAACATATTGTGAAAACTAAATCTTGATTTGATGTTCCGATGCTTTTAAAGTTTAAAAGGATATGATCTAGCTCTGATTTCTGCAGTCTCATTCCCTATAGAAATTCTAAACCAAAACATTTGGATCTGAAAAGCCCCCATCATCTTTGATGAGGTGTTAAAACCCTTCTCTAAACTGCCATTGTTATTTTACACTCCTTGTATCTCCAACGGCGGTCACAAAAATAAAGCCAACTTGTAAAAACCTCATTTTCTCCTGTTAGCTTACATTCCATGGTGACAGTATGATGTCGCTTTGTAACAAGCGCTGCAAGGTACTGCACCTCAGTGACTATTGTATAAAGCAGTGGGAGATGAAACAGAAATAAACAAAACACGTAGCACTGGAGATAACAAGTGTTTGGCTGTGGATTTGTTGCGGGGGCCTCCCCCTGTGCATGCAGCCTCCTGCGCAGGGATGGGGTGAGTTTGGATAGGTGAATAAAAATCACCTGTGAGGGCGCGGTGCCCCCGGACAGGGTATTCCCGCCCGCTGCGGTGCCGCCGCCCTCGGCTGCTCTCACGGGTGTCCCTCGCCGGGGTGGGGCTGGGCAGGCCGTGAGGAGCCGCCCCTCCATTGCGCAGGGGCCTTTTCCTGCAGCCGCCCTCCCGCTCCCCAGCCCGGGTCCCGTCACGCCGAGGGGCTGGGCTCTCCGCGGCAGGA